GGGGCCTGTCCCAGCCGTGCAAGGTCAGAGTCCGGCGTAGCGGCTGCAGCCGGGTCACTGCGCTGACATTGCGGACAGCCCGCGGGAGCGACCGGCGACGCCCAGTCCAGGCAGCCAACCCGGCAGGGCGAGGGCGGGCTTTGGCTCCCGGCGTGGGGCGGGAGGGGCTGGCGGCTGGTGTACTTGCTCTCTGTCAGGCAAATGGGGGCAGAGCCCCACGCGAAATCCTCCCCCTCTCCTCCCCCAGCGGGGAAAAGTGCCTGCGGGTTCCAGCCACGTCGTTTGGGGGCAGGAAGAGCGATTTCTATGTTTTCCCTCTGGCAAAACTCACCCTAAGTAGTGCTAGAAACGTAGCCGTGTTAGTCTGGGGTAGTTGAAGCAAAATGCAGGACTATGCAGCACTTTAAAGACTAACAAGATGGTTTATTAGATGATGAGCTTTCGTGGGCCAGACCCACTTCCTCAGATCAAACAGTGGAAGAAAATAGTCACAACTATTCGTGGGTCTGGCCCACGAAAGCTCATCATCTAATAAACCATCTTGTTAGTCTTTAAAGTGCTACATTGTCCTGCATTTTGCTTCACCCTGAGTAGTACATTGCTGGCTGGACTCAGCCATGCCTCAGCCCCCAGGATGGCGTCTCATACAGCCCATCTGTGCTTCTCCAACTAGCTACCCGCAACTCTCTCCCAGGGTAGTTTATCCTGAGGGGTGTGATAGTCCTTAGTGAGCATGATGCACTCCTCTACCCCTACAGGTTACTGTAGCTGCCTCTGCTCCTGGCAAAAGGAACTGCCCTGGAAGCCCATTGAGGATCTGGCTGTAGCATCCCAACCAAAATCCATTTCTCCTTTTTCCTCCCTTTCTTTAGACCCATGAAAAAACCCAATACAACTGCCGCATAAGCATAAGGGTGACACGTGTAGGTTAACCATTTTCTGGACAAGACCTTTAACACCCATGAGATTCAGTTGCAGGGATAGAGCCCAGCATGTGCAGCACCTGGTGCAAATTCTTCTGAGCCTTTAACACCCACAAGATTCAGTTGCATGTGCAGCACCTGGTGCAAATTCTTCTGAGAGATGTCCCAAAGTCAGAGCACGTGGTGTTTGGTACATTGCATCTCAAGTTTGGTAACTTAATTTGATGTTCCATCCTTCCTGTGCCAATGGGGTGCACTGAGTAGAAATTAGTTTCCTCTTGCCTGTTGGGATTACATCTGCTTTAACGTGTACAGATCGACTGCTTTGCTCTTCATGCTAAGTGGGGAATGTGTGTGTGTGTGGGGGGGCAATGTTCTCTCTCATTTTTCCTTCTGTGCAGAATAAATGTTATGTGCACTGAGCATGTATGGATGTGCACTGTCAATAGAAACACTTGCTGCCAGTTATGGACACTATGCTAATCAGCTGGGCAATATTTTAATCTCCCCTAAAATGCTGCCCCAGCACTCAGGGAGCAGGGAGCACTGGCAGGGGGCCTGACCTCTTCTGCTGCCTTGTGCCAGGCCCCCCTCCCATCCAGTAATTCCCAAAGCAACATCCTTGGGGATGGAGTGCAATGCGGGGAAGGGTGGGAAAGGGACAGAGCTTCATGAAGTGTAATGCGCCCCACCTCCACCCTGACTGGGATTACCATGCTGCATTGCATAATTGCTTTGGCTGGGGATGGCCTGCAGGCCCTGAATTTGAGACCCCTCTTAATAAGCTTTCTCTTGGCCATCCACATTTGCTCACATAAGTCTATTGCCACTTGATAGCTTCCTATGAGAATCGGTGTTGACATCCAGAGTACATGCCCCAGTGCTTCTGGTTGAAAATGGGCTTCTGGTTACTTATTTCTTGGATCTCTTTGCTGGAGATTAGCAAGTACTCGAAGAACCTTATGTCTATTCAAAGTAAGTGTGTGTGGCTGCCATGTGCACCAGTACTGGAAGATTTCCCCTCAGCCGTACCCCATAGGTCCTGCTTCGACACCACCTAGAGTGGTACACACAAAGAGCTCTACATAGAGCACTGCCAGCCCCCTCTACCCTTAGTTCTTTCAGATCTGTTGAGATTTGGGATCCTGCTGCCAGCCAAGCTGAAGACAAACCTGATTGCTGCTTTGCAACAACCAAATTTGATTCCCAGGCAGCAACCCAAAACAGGACCGAGGAGGCTGGTCCTATAGAGGGAAATGTTAAAATGCATTTATTTTCATAAACATGTACCGACTGAAAATTTTAGAGGGTACATGTTTACATGCCACCTGCCCCCCCCATCTCTCCCACTGCCTCTGATATATAGAGGCAGTAGCATGGGAGGAGGCAGGCAGCTCCGCAGGAGGCAGTGCTCACAGGGGGCTGCTTAAAAGCTGGCTCCCCACGAATATCAGTTCCCCCCTGCTGCCCCTCATGCTGCTGCCTCTGTATCAGGGCAGCAGCATGCAGGGGGAGGGTGGACAGGCTACTCACATAGGGAGCATGTGTGTTAGCAGTGAGACTATGAATGCTGGAAAGCAAGAGAGCTACCAAAGCAAGAGCTGGCTCCCCACAAGCACTGACTACTGCAGAGCCACCTCTCCCCCTGCCCCTGCACTACTAGCTCTGATACAGAGGCAGCAGCCCCAGGAGGGAGGGGAGAAGGCTGCATGGGTATGTCTACACTACAGCACTAATTCGAACTAACTTAATTTGAATTAGTTAATTCGAACTAAGCTAATTCAAACTAGTGCATCTAGACCTAAAAACTAGTTTGAATTAGCATTTTGCTAATTCGAACTAGCATGTCCACATTGAGTGGACCTGAAACCAAAGTTAAGGCTGGCCCAGAGCAGTGCCGGCAGGGCATCAGGTTAGGACTTAGAGTGTGGAGCTGCAG